GCACCTCGAAGCTTCAGCGGGTGCAAACGAGTGGCCAAAGAGCCCAGGAGCGCGATGTCTGTGGGCTCTGTAGGTGTTGCAAAGGGTTCTGTAGGAGTCCTGACATGGGGCTATACACAGGGTTCTTCAGGGTTCTGTACGGGTTGGTCGGGTTGGTCAAGAGTTCTGACGTTGAGCTTTTCGGAGCTTCGAGTGCCTAAAGCCCTGCATCCTAAACCCTAAGCCGTAGGATTCAAGCTCAGAGATTGAGCAGTTCTGAACTTCTGGATATCTCACTCTCTGAGCCTAAACCCGGCAGCCTAAACCCCCGACAGCGAAGCAAGAGCCCAGATTCCAACACCCCTGCAGTAGTTTCGCAAGCCAGAGCAAATTGAGACAAGACAGATCGCCTTATCAGTTTAGATCTGGTGCGCCCTCTACCGAAGGTGGGGGTGGGCCGGATTTTGCCGGTTCTGCACAGGAGCTTGCAGAAGCCCGGCCCCAAAGGTGAAGAGAAGCGGAAGCCGGAAGCCTGCGAAGCCTGCCTTCGAGGGGGCGTTTTCAGCCTCATAGCTCACTTCTACTTCTCCGGCGCAAAGCCCATATGGAATTTAAGACCTAAGCACAAACTTGCCAAGAGCTTGGGCCGGCGGCTGCAACCTGCAAGAAGTCAAGAAGGGTCCAAAACAGGTGCGCCTGCGATGGAGGTGTTCGGGGGAATCCCGGACGAGAGCCTGAATGTGGACCTCTGGCAAACAGCACGCCTTGCCTTCAGAATCCCTCTCAATTGTCTTCCTCGTTTCATCGAGGGTCCACGTCATGCCTGGGATCCTAGATCCCATGGCTTCATCTCAGCTTCTGAGGCCATGTCTTTCTCAAGGCATCTCTTGCTCATGACTTGTCTTGCCCTCGTCTGAGAGATTCGTGGCGCCGGGTCTGGTGTTGTACATAAGCCTGTTCGGTACAACACAGAAGTCCAAAGTCTGTTGTCTTTCATCGTGGTGATGGTGATGCTTAGCAGGCAACGCCTCACGGGAATCCAGAGCTCGCTGGGGAGCAAAGCCGTGGCCATGAAGCCACGAGCCGGCGACGGCAGGCCGCCTGGTCCGTGCGGTCTGGGTCCAAGCTTCAGGATGTTCACTGCAACCGTTTGATGTGGTGTGGATCCCACTTGAATAGTGTTTCACGCGAGCGGACTCCTTTGTCCTCGGCTTTTGTTGGTTCCGTTCTGTTGAGTCTTGCGTATGTACGCCATACGTCCTGCGGACAGTCGCCGCAACCGGTTTGAAGAGCTGCTGTGTCTCGGAGAACTTGGGCCGAACAACTGGCTCAGCTTGTGTCCTTGCGAAGCTCCTGTGTGCAGCGCCGGCCAAGCGCCGTGTAATTCGTTCACCTGGATACGGCAACATCCACAGTTTTATATAGCACCTCCTTGCCATTAGGAGCAAGTTGCCAAATAGTTGCCCTTTCTGCAGGACTTCGTCGTGCAGTTGATGGTGTTGCAACGCGCAGACATATCATGTTAGTAGCTAAGTCGGGCTAGAATTCAGAGGTGGGAAGCGCAGCATTCGATGGGCACCAAGACATAGTAGCTGAGTGAGCACCCTTTATATTTTTTTTGGGATAATACGACCCCCTATAGAACTGAAAGTGTGCACTTTCTGGGGCTTATCAACTCGTGAACTAAGAAATGGGTAGCGTGTGGCCAGTCGCCATGCCAAGGTTGAAGTGCCGCACCAGGTGTCACAAGGCAGTCTGTGGAAGGTAAACTAATTAGCTTTCGCAACGAAGCCAGCAAGGATGGATCTGGACATCAGACCACCAAAGATGCTCACGCTTGAGACTTGGGCCCAGTGGAGTGCAGGTGCTGCTGGCCTCCAGCCCGCAGATGGCGGCAGCCACCCCCTGCCAGACACCTTCGTGAGCGCCTGAGATGGGCTCCTCATCAGCGCTGGATGCATGATGCTGCCTTGCAAGTGGTTGTCAAAACGCAAGAGCCGAAGCTGTTCCCGTTTTTGCTCAAAGGTCTGGCCCAGGGCCAAAGGTAGCCGTCAGCATGGCGCAAGAGTGCAGGCTGTGTGCGTCGCCTCGCGACGACGATTCAGACCATCTGCACCCACGGCTGGCTGGTCCAGACTCACACCAGTTACGATTGCAAGGACACGACCTCAGTTAGATGCCTTTGCCCTCGAAACATTGCCATGAAATTAGGATCGAAAGGCATAGGCCAAGGCCACAGCACAAAATTGAGACAAGCTCGTGCGAGAGCGACTGCAAGATAGATACGATCCGTTTGCCTCCGTGCCATTCCGTGCCCTGATTTCTGGTTTCGAACCCTCGCATAGTTGCAGAGTTACTTTTGCGCAGCCATGCTCCTCAGCTTTTGTCAAGTTCCCCGGCAGCTCCTTGCCTGCTTTGCAACCACCTATGAATGCTAGTGGTGACCTGCTGCAAGGCCAGATGAAGATCCTCGCCTACTTGTCTGAAACGATGGTCCGCAACACAAATGGGTCAACAGAGAAGACAAAGAGCACGGAGCCAGGGAGTTGCAGCGGAAATTGCACGCCCTGCGTCTTTGTTGCGAGCAAGCGTGGCTGCTGGCGGCAGCCTTGCTTAATGTGCCATGCCGAAGATCACATCCGGCTTCGGCAGAGTCTGAGGAAGGAGGCCAGCAGGCAGCGCTCTCTTCAGCACGTGGCAGAGCTAAAGGAGAAGAAGCAGAAGAAGCGCATGACGAAGACGTGACGAGGCGGGCCTTCGCCCTAGGCTGGCCAAGTTTTGTTCATTAGCTTCAATCGATTCTTCACGACATTTGTCGCTTCATATTCCGTCTCCGGGTGAGGTCGGGAAGTGTAAGGTCCATGTCTAAGGCCGGATGTATTGCTGCAACTAGCATATAAGAAATGATATGATATGATATATGTATATATATGTATGAAGTATTTTAGTATTTCCTGATTGGGATCCCAATCACGTTATTGAGTTTACTATTTAGAATGGAGATGGACCTGTGAACCCTCGGTGGTTCTTCTTTCGCCAAAGCTGGTCGCTGCCCTCTTTGAGTTTCACTTCTGGCCTGTTTCCGGGACAATGCTCCGAAAGGCCAGACGGTGCTACATGAGTGACTGCCATTTGACTGCCAGCTATGCCAGCGTTACGGCTTCAGATAGACCCGCACAAGAAAAGTCAGCGTGGGCTGCACGCCACATACTGACTTCATGCACAGCTTCCTTCGCGTGCTCCTTGCGTGGCACGTGCTGCATCGGACTGCTAGGCAGCGGTTTGGCGTGCTCTTGATGCTCTTGGCGGGAGGCGGGGGGGACACTGGTTCAAACGAGTGATGCGTGTGGAACTCGCGAGAGTTTGGGCGGGCCTTAAGGCTGTCTTGACAATTCTGGAGCTGCTGGCGAGGGTGGACATCGGTGCATGCCCCCAATCAGGTGTGTGCATTGTTGCAGGAACACCCGAGCCTTAGTGAGAGGCATGTCGCAAAAGCAAACAAAGTGATCTGATCCACAACACCTTTCTTCACACGTTTTGTCCTTACAAAATCACTCTGCAGTCTTAGCCCTCAAACCCTCCAAGTCCCTGCCAGCATCTTGGATTTCGCCTTTGTGCCGGATGCAGCGCCTGGTGAGTCCGGTTTCATTGACGTTGGCACCGGCGCTAGAACCCGAAACGTGTGTACCGGATCCCGTGAGTCTGGACCCATTGACTTCGAAACCCACCCGACACACTAAAAGCCCACACCCTAAAGCCCTTGCAAGACCCGAAAAATCGCTCCTGACAGATACGCTATGGGCAAAAGGGCCTAAACTTGAACTCCTAAATCAGAACCAAGCCTTATAAGGCCTTAAGTGACCGAAATCCCCGTCAGGTGATCTGTCTGAACTGCGCCGGCCTCCCGAACGCGCCGCTCGTGCGCTTGGCCTCCGGGCCCGACCCCAAAAGGGCGGAAGCTTTTTTTGCAATTGTAGGGGTTATAGGAGGTTTGCGGCTTTGGGTTTGGGGGTTTCGTAAGGGTTGTCGCAGCTGGTCGATGTTTTTTTGTTTCTGGTTTAGGGCTTTTGTGCTTTATTGTGCAGTTTGGGGGTCTTCGGGGCTTTCCTGATTCATAGGGGGGGAATTCACAAGGGTAGTGGCGGGGTTTCAAATCTTATTCCTGTTATAGGTCTCTTGTAACGATACTGTAAAGGGTTTCTGAAGCCCGGGTAGGGGGTTCAGGGAGTTGGCGCAGTGCAGCCAGTTTGGGGAACAGGTTCTGATTCTAATGTGTGTGTGTGTGTCCCAAGTGTTTCACATCCCACTCCAAATTTCCATGTCGGTGCCTTCAATAGCGATATAGAGGGATCCCAGCGCGAAGGAAGCTTGGGGTTCTATTTGACATCTCAGCGGCCACGACCCTCCGCAGAATCCTTTGAAAGCCCGGTTAAACTCTTCAAAATCTGTGGTAAATTCGTGGCAGTAAGAAAAGGTATGGGTATTACAAGAAGCGGCAAAGCTTAAAGCAACAACATGTTTTTTCCTGATGAAAGCAGCGCTGGCAATCTATACCAGTCGCGGAAAATTAGGCCCCTCGCTGTGAACCTAGTGATGAGGATATTGTAACAAGAGCGCAATGCCGCCACCCAAAGTGCCAGAAACCCGCAATGATCCCCTTATAACACTCCATATCGAGCCCTGTCATAGACTTGCAGCATCCGGTGAAATCCGAATGGATCCTTATCAAACCATTCTAAAAACGTTCCCGACCGAAACAGGCGCTGAGCTCCATCGGCATTGCAGCCCGGCTCGCCAGCCTCATCGGCAATGCGGCTTGGACAAACCCCTCATGCACTACAGCAGGGCAATAACGATCATGCCAATAATGATGGTGCATGCTTAGTTTGGGAGGCGGAAGAGAGAACCCAGCCTGGGAGGGATTGCGTTTGACAGTCCTTACGAAGCTTACTTGGAGGCTCTTCTGACTGTTAAGCCTAAAAAGTCCGTAGAGTACCCCTGCAGTCTTTATTCAAGCCCAGATTGCCGTGGCGATCCTGAACCGATGGCTCATGAGCACGGATCTCTACGATCCCCTCTGGCGGCTTCGTTGCACGAAGAGGAGGGGTTTCAGGTTCTCGAGGCCCCAACAGGGTGAAATGGGAGGTTTTACAAGAGTCCAAAGGGGTATCGTAGGTATCTAGGAGGGTTGTTTTGTACACGAAGCGTACGATCATTGTAAGCAGTTCGTGTATTTTACTGCAAGTTCCCTTCGATCCATTTCATCACGCGCCTGTCCACCCAAGGATCTACTATCCTGCATGTGGCACACTCTCGCTGTGCGCTCATCCCGCTGATCGGGAGCGAGCGTCAATTCTTGGAGGGGGCTTCTTCCGTTTGGCAGTTCGAGCGTCGTTGGGGGTCAGCCTATTCCCTGAGCCATGAACCCAAAATCGCCAATCTCTGTATCTTTTTGCCACCACAGCCAGGACTCCTCGTGGCGGTTGGGGTTCCGCAAGCGGTGACCTGCAGGCGCAGTGTGGGCTTGGGGTTTCGGGCTTGGCACATGCGTAGTTCTGACACGCAAACTGTTTTGGGCTGTCGCTGTGAGATTTTTCCTTTGTAACCGTGGGTATCAGGGGAGCATGCAGGTTGGGGTGTGGGGAGGCATAAGGAGTGCGCTGCCCTCGACTCAAGTGTGCGAACACAGTGTAGCTCAAGGTGGCATCCTGCATGAGCTTCCCTCACGCGCAGCTGTGCGCGCAAGGGATTTGCTCTGCCCGCCTTGAGCCTTGTACTTGTCGTCTTCTGCTGAGCGGAAGTCTGTAGATTCGGCTGTGTCTTTGCAGTACCAAGTGCAGCAGATGGATTACGAGCCATGGTACCAGAACATACATGAAAGCTTTGATGGTGCAACCACGTTCCTTTGTGCTGAGAGGTCGTCCTGGAAAGACGTTAAACCATAGTTTGCAAGCCAATGGCTGCGGCCCGTCTATTGGACGTTAAACATATGTTTGGCTGCTGTTAAAAAGACAGTTTTTGGCCAGAAAGAAAAGGAGCCTGCACCTCCAATGGTGTCCTGAGGAAAGCTCAGGACAGGGGGAGTGCGGAGGTTGCACTTTGCAGGTTTGGAAGGGGTAAAACACCCATGGATATTTTGGCTCAAGACTTCTCTGGTTGGTCTAGGGTAAAATTCAGGGCTTCGGCTGGGGTTGACTGTTTGGTTCTTTGTCCCCCCTCGGTTGCCCCCCGTATAGGGTTTAGGTTTAGGGTTTTGAAGGGTTTGGGGTTTTTTAAGGGTTAGGGCTTTGGGGGGTTTTGAGGGTTTAGGGCTTTTGGGTTTAGGGTTGGGTTTCGGGTGACGTAGGGTTAGGGTTGTGTAAGGATGAGGGTTTCTTTTTGGGTGTAGGGATTGCGGTTTGTCAGGCCTTAGGCTGAGGGTTTTTCGGGTTTAGGGTTCAGGGGTTTTAGGGTGTTTAGGGTATTTTAGGGGTTTAGGGGGTCTGAAGGTTTGGGGTTTAGGGGTGTTTAAGGTTTAGGGTTCAGGTGTTAGGGTTTTTTAGAGGTTAGGGTTTGGGGGTTTGGGGGTTTTTAGGGTTTAGGGCTTAGGGGGTTTTAGGGTTTAGGGTTTTTTAGGGTTTAGGGTTCAGGGGTTTTTAGGGTTGAGGGTTTAGGCACAGGGACAGATCCTAAAACGATAGGGGTCTATCGCACGCATAGGGGCCTATGCCAGAGCACCCCTCCCCTGTGCATAGGCCCCTTGTCCTACCTATGGGAGGTGCCTGTGTACAGGTACCTATCGGTTTCGGACAGACCTATATACAGGGGTCTATCCCCCTCAGGGTAGGAGTAGGGGTCTATGCCTTTTCCGATAGACCCCTATAGGGGACCTATACTAGAACCGATAGACGGCTACTAAACGAAACCATACTCGAAAGAGCAAGCAAAATTCAAGTTTGTCACATTTTCGTTCGCAATTTACTCGCAAAACTTTCCTCCAAACTTTTCGCCCAACACTTGCGACTAAAACTTTGGCACAACTTTTTCGCCCTAAGAAAAGGCAAAACTCTCCAAATCTTCCAACCCTCCCCTCCCCCGGACCCCCAGATCACCTCTGAGACCCCCCTCAAATCCCCCCCCTCTTCCCCCCCGATTCCCACCAGACCCCCCCCCCCCCCATAAAGAACATAAAGCAATAAAAATATATTCCAAAGCAGAAAATTTTCCTCCAAAACTTCCAAAAGCCATTGGGCCTAAACCTTATACAGATTCTCATTATTGCCAGGAAGTAATAAATGATTCGTATGTATCTCTTCGCAATATCATATTTTTTATCAGTTTTTGAAATCATAAGAAATATCAAAGACGAGATCCCAATGATGATGAATATTCATTTCGTTTGATCTAAAATATGTAATCAAGATAAAGGGAGAGGGAAAATAAGATAGGTTCGTATTAAATTCAAAAAAAGAAAAATGGATCGCATCATATGTTGGAACGATTTCAGAAATCCAAGAAGATATAGAAAAAATAATCGAGAATATAAATATTCATTTGATTTGATATACAGAGCATAAATCGAAAGAACTTTTAATATTCGGTTGATTTGATATACAGAGCATGCGGCAATTGCAAATGTGCGAAATCGAAATATGTCGACGACCTTGTCTTTCCTCTCAGCCAGCCAATCTCTCAATTTACTTAAACTTGCTTGCTCACCAATCCACCCAAACGGTTCCAAACGGTGCGCACGGAAGAGGCACCTAAGAGCTCCGGAGTACACAAGCCTGCCTCAGCAGTACTCAGCAGGCAGCCGTGTGGATATGTGTGCGCGGGCTGATTGTGAGGAGTGCTTCGCACCTCAAGGTTTGACATGTGCAGCCACACATCCATGACCCGATCAATGTTCAGAACATGTTTACCAGCACAGGAACCAGTCAAAGCATCCCAAACCCAGACTGTCCATGAGCAACAGTCGTAATATATAACATGTCAAGCAGCTTGGTGTTGCGACACAATGTCATAGTCAGATGATGGTAATCCATGTTGCGCTTTGATTGTTTGGCCACTTTCACAAGTTCGTTTATGTTTGTCTTCGTTTGCTAGACATGACCGGTTCTTTGCCGAGCGATGCGCTCCTCCAGTCCCCGGTCGGCGAACGGATGCCACCCATGGATCGTCAGGATGTGTGGTGGAATTATGGATTGTAAAGATGTGCAGAGATGTGTCGAATGTAGTGCGGGCCAGCTCGAGCTTCTTGTCAGGAGACGACAGGGGAACGCCACAGAATGCGACAGCAGCAGCGTTCAATCATGGCGGTGATGGATCCGTACAATCCCCCGGCAGCCAAAAAGCGCGCTGCCAGGCGGCAGTTCTTCTCCCCAGAGTAGAGTGCGTGCTAGAGGCGTGCATGTTACGAGCTCTGGCCTCCTATCTCTTGCAACACAATTTTGGGGTTTGGCCAACCAATGTTGGCAAAAACCAATGTTGGCCAAGGGAGATGGAGGCCGCCTCAGCTTGCGAGACTGGATGCTCGGACATGAATCTGATGATTCTGAGTTCCTTCCTCGCTGTTGCGTGCATTTTGGCAATCACATGTGTGGCAGCAATGATCTTGAGCCAGGAAATCATGGCTTTCTGCGTTCTCCGCTGCGGTCCCGCTCTTCTTGCCTCTGGGATTCAATAGCAAACCGCCGTGTTGGTTGTGAAGTCCAGCTCTTTTTATGTGTTCAGGACAAAGCTCTGCTTTTGTGCTGAAGCGGCAGCAGTGTGCCATGTGCCTGCAAGGCTGAGCTATTCTTCCTGTGTGTCGTATGCTCATCTGATTGTTTCTGGTGCATACGGCTACCCGATCCGCGCTGCCGGGGCCTCAGTTGGTCAGCAATCGCTACATATTGCTACATGTTGTAACAAAAATTGCTACTACAATCAATCACGGCTTGTACAGGCTAGTGGGCAGTTTTCCTGTCTCTTAGGTGGTGGTTACCTCGATGCATCTATTCAGCAGCGGCCTCACGGGCATACTCTTGCCAATGCAGAGCAACCTGGCTGCTAGGAATAGCCGTTAGCATGCTACGTGGGGACTCGACAAGGCATGTCTGCACCATGCAGGTTAGAAGCGTGACCTGATGAGCCCTTGTGCATTCAGCAATCAAGGCAAATGCCCATTGATCATCCCATCAGCAGATATTTCCGTGACAATGTTCTACCAGATGATTGCCTGCAGCCTAGTCCAGCACGGGGGCTGATTGTGCTTGGCGTAGTGCTTCCAGGCATTCACAAAGCGTGCTCCAGGTCATGGATATTGTGAATGCGGCCTCTGAAGACGGCACCCTTTCGCCCGAGGCACTACTCGACAATACTCGCACAGTGCAGGCTCACGCAGTCCTGTTGGATCAGGCAGTGGCAGCCACGGCTTTGCTGGCGTTGCCTGTGAATACCATCCTAATGAGCTTGGTTTTCTTCGTGGTCGGAGAGCCTCCTGTCGGCTTAGAAGCTAGTGAGCATCCCGCATCCATGTAGTGCATTATGAACGCATGTGCATTTTTCATATTCTCACGTTCCGAAGGAAGAAAATCACAGTGGTCGTTTCTTATCTGCCCTACCCCGTGGTCGCGGGCTTCTTGGGTTCCATAGGCCTCGCGCCTTCGCCAGCAATCTGCCATCTGCACGCATCTGCGCTCATCTGTTATGGAGGCCTGGCTATCTTTGTCGGCGCTTTCGCTGTGCTCGAGGACGCTTCAAGTACACTATGCAGCACAACTAAGAAGCCAACTTGCCATAACTTGCTCATGTGGAGCTAGGACGGGCTCAGTGGCTTTAACGGCATTGCCCAGGCAGGCAAGTTGACTTCTCACATCCTGCAGGTTCCCAGTTCATGCTGCCATTTTGAAGATGTGCTGGTGCTACATAGCATTGCACAGAGCAGATTAGAGCAGATGTTGACGGTCGAAATGCGCCTGACCAGAGAGGCTGCAAGGGACAAACCTTGGCCGCTGTGCTGCGCAGCGGGCAGCGAAGCTGCAAACAGCTGCAGAGCGCGGAATGTCCTGCGATGTGAGCATATGCATGACTGCTGAGTTTGAAGGGTGAGAGTAGCAAAGGAATGGCACTCAGCTCGATCCTGCTCAAACATGCTGGGCTCCCTGCCCGAGTGCCTTGGACCATGCTTTCATTGGTTTCTTCTGACGTGCAAAAAATCCAGTCAAGCTTCGGTGTGTACACGGGTTCTGGACAAGGTGTTGGCAGTAGCACCAACGTTGACCACAATGGTGCCCTGCCGAACATACGATCAGCACATTGTTCGTCCATGACAGCACCGACCGAGATTGACGCAAATTTCTCGAGGTCCTCTTTTGGGTTTGTGTCTTCATTTCTGGCTTGCCCTTGGATCAGATTCGAGAGGAGCAGCTTGGAAGACATCCCGTGTGCTTGCTGCCGAAGGCTTTAGAGAGATGTTGTGCCCACAGGACGGCTGGCTTTTTCCAGCAGCAAGTTTCGAGCCTTTCTGGTCGATTTGGACTGCCGGGGGACCCAGTGGTTGACGGACTTACATGGGCCTAAGTGGAGCAGCCATGACTGGTTGACGTGGTCTCCGAGTCATTCCTGCGTCCTAAGGAACAAAAACCATCGCTGGTGGTGCTGCACCTGGGCTGAACAAAGTGTGGCGGGCACTGTCTTGATGAGTCCCCGCCCGCGAACCCGTCAAGGTTGGCCACCGCCCAAGTGAACCCTTTGACGTGCAAATGTGCCGAAACGGGCAAAGCACAAACGCATGTGCATGAGCCGCTCTGCAGGCACTTGCTGCCCCCGAAAGTGGCCACCTTCCTTGGTGAGGGCCCTGTGAGATCAGAGCTCTCTGTGACCGAGATCAGTTCCTCCAGTGAGCTCCGAGAGAATTGGGCTCTTCGAGTCTTCGAAGACAGGTCTGGGATTTGTCCTGATTCTTTCGCTCACACTTCGTATCGCTGGCATCGAGGCGTCGCTCCGCAGATGTATGAGTTGCATAGGTAGCCAGGTGTACACCAGTGAGTTACCCCAAACGTGGCATCATGTGTATACACTTGCGCAGGGCTCGACGGGTTGCATGATGGGTGTGGACGATGAGGCAATGCGGTGGCAGTTTCATTCTCCTTAACCTGTCGAAACTCGGAACACCGCTGGCTCTTGTGCCGTTGTATGTCAGGTGAAAAGGACAGGCATTGCAAGTGGTATTGCTGGCTGCTGTGGAACAGTCTCGTGCTTGGAGAGTCACTGCTCCAGCATTGCTCCAGCTGCGTCGTGATGATTCCTGGAGTGCACAAGGTGATCGGATCACATTCTCCTGGCCTGACGACCTTCAATGCAGCAGCTCGTCGATTGACAGGGAGGCCACAGCATTGAAGCACTTCTGTGATCCGAGTCAGCTTTCAGGAAGCTGGCAGCACGACGTTGCAGGCAGCAGCATCGGTCTCAGTGCCTCCGAGATGTGATGAACACATGATGATGGGTCCAGGATGTCCATGCAGCATGAGAGAGCGAGGTGCTGACAGCGGCCTTCCAGCTTGCTTTGTGGCTTTCCGGTGTTCCCCGGCCAAAGTTTGACATTGGCAGATGCGTGAGATTGAGATGCCGTCAACGCTACTGAGTTTCCCGTGATGAATCTCTTCCCGCGGCCGGGATCCAAGTCCAATCTTTCCCTCTTTCCCTCTTGATTTTGGGTGCTCTTGGGGTGACTTCCCTGACGTCGGAAGTGCCCTTTTGGTCAGGTTCCTGCTCTCGGGCATCTTGATGAACCTGGGCTTGGTCATGCTGCAGGAGAAGTTCTGCAAAACAAACAGCAGAGAGTGAGCAATAGTGAGCAGAGGGACTTGTCATGTGAGCCATGCCAAAACGTTGCTGGGTGAGTCCGCTGAAGGCTCTCAACAATCCTCTGGCAATCCAACTGTATCCTTCAGAGGTCCCGTGCGCTAAGGGACACGGCGAAACAGGAAACAGCAGATCGCCACCGACCACGAAGCACATTTTGAGGGCAAGTTCTCCCCACAGAGGATGCCGCGATTACCTGAATAAGGGAACATGTGGAGGGGTGAAGGTGACGGCAAAATTCGCCCCTTGATTCGAGCTTGATGCTTGAAGGCTAAGCATCTTGGATATCTTGCGCTTTCTGCAAGGAGTGGATGTGGACAGCGAGGCACAAGGCGCAGATCTCTGTGACATTGTACGAATGTCAGAGCCCGACCAGAAACCTCGAAAGAGCCTTGCATGCGCTACTTTTACATGCACAAGCAACTGAGCCCTTGGTCGGCAGCGCGACCTTCCATGCTCGGTGCTCGGTCAGGTCGGTATTCTTGGGCTCTTGGTGATCTATGCGCAGGCTTCCACTGGCTTCTAGAAGTGGGTTCGTCTGTGTCGCTGTCGTGCCAATGTGGCCACATGGGCCACTCGGGCCACTCGGGCTACTCGGGCTACTCTCTGTGGCTGCTGGAACGCAGTGGACCGCGCAGGTGGCATCTTCTGCCATGTATGGCTTGCTTCCCAGCGTGCTCGTGGCATGCTCAGGGCATATGGCACTCGCGTTGGCGCTCGCATTGGTCTTGAGTTCTGTGTTGTGGTGCAAGGTTGGGGTGGCCGTGGCACTGGTAACAGCTCAGGCCTGGTTCCGACGAACTGTGCCTTTTTTCTTCAATGTCTAAAGCATGTAGGCATGCTTCGGCAAGTTAAGCTTGCAAAAGCTTGCGGCTTGTAACTTGTCACGTGATCTGGCACGAAGGTCCAACTGATGAGTCTACATGTCTTAAAGAGCTGGCCTGAGTCTGTTTGGCAATGCAAAAGTTTGTCTTAAGCTTAACTGCTGTGCCAACCCATGTCTGGTGACGGAGGTACCACGTGTCCAGAGTTTCGCTGCGAACAAATCTGCATCGGAACGAACGAGAGTCACCACCTTACGCAAATGTGGACGCTGGGAAACTGAGTTCTAGTCTACAGTAGTGGTTAAGAAGTTAGAAGGGTCCCCCCCCCCCCTCGCCCCCCAACAAGGAGAAGGATCTTGCAGGAGCATGGTGAGTTGATCGAGTGCTTGGGCTTGGAAGGGTTCCTGGTCGGACCCCCGGTCGCTATGTCAGAGCCTATGCCTCAAGTGCAACAACCCCGTGCATCTAAGGCGGAAGGACCGATGATCAAGCTCTCAAATTATGTGCCTTGCTTGCATTCAGAGTCCAGAGTCTTGCTTCTGCAGCTCCTGAAGTTCGCGTCTGGAGCACGGCTGACATGGCCACCGCGAGGTGCGGCAGTACGTTGAGTGCAACAAGCCGGACCTCAGAGACAAGGAATGAAGCACTGCTATGGTTGCTATGCTGTACTTGACATGCCGAGGGTTCTTCGCTTCATGGTCTTTGACCTACAGGCTTGTCAAGGATGCCCGTGTCCTAATGTTTCCCACTGAGTCCTAAAAAGTCCTAGATTCCCCACGGCTCCATTGTTTGAGGCAACGTCTCCGCGTACGCACTTCTTGCAAAGCTCGACAAGGCATTCTCTGCTCGTGCTCGTGCTCGCCCATTGTGTGCACGTGGATCCGCAGGTCTTGCAAAACGAAGGTATCCGAGCCTATTACAGCTGCTCTCTCAGCTGTGGTCGGCGGAGCTGGTCAGATACATTCGTTGTTGTCTGCTTGCTGTGCATCTGCCGCCAAGGTAGTATGGAGGCAGACATGAGTGCTGGCTTAAAGTCGTTTGGAGTGCTGCTCTGAGCATTACATGTCATAACGAGCTGCTTCTATCTCTCTGTATTGTGTGTTGGTCACCTCGTGGAAGACAGGTTCCGGCGGATCGCATCTTTGCAGAAGACACTGGTGGCCTGCCCGCAATAACTAACTAACTTTGTTCGGGTGCCGGCAGCCCCCAAATGGACAGGGCACCCCTGTTGCCCCATGCGGGCGCACAGGGCGAGTATACTTCAGCAAAACAGCAAGGCAGCTAGCAAAAGCGACCTCAGAGGGAGCTGAAGCGACCAAGACAATCAGCCAAGCGAATCACAATAACGCCCCACAACCAAGAAGCCAGCACGGCGAAGCCCGCCCAAACCACCAAGGCGAGGGCAGGAACCAACGGAAAGTACCAAACCAACAAACACGAGACAAAACAGGGACTAGCTACACCATCTGCTGTTCCATATTGCCTCGACAACATGGCCAAGAAAAGGCAGCAAGGCCTGCCGGCAATTGGATGTCCTGGGATTCTTGGCACTTGCGTTTGGCACTCTGCTTTCTCGTCTCGGATCTCAATGTGAGAGCGAGCTTGAGTCGCCGGGCATATGCCTGTCCTCCAACCGCCACGTGTGTTCTCACATCGCTGTTGCCATTGTCGCCGAGGCTTCAACAGCTCCTTCATGAAGGCCCTGCAGTGCTGTGAGGCGCTTGCAGGGCACAAGCAGGGCAAGGGCAAGGAAGGGGTCAAGTGTCCACAAAGTTTGGTGGGTGTTGTGGTGCAGTGCAGTGCTCACAACGTAAAGTCGCAGTGGACTTTGATGAAGCATTCCGTGTTATTCCCCCCAAACTTCAGGATATGGTTCTCCAGAGTGTCCTTCAGGCCGGGCGAGCAGACCCTGCAGCAGTTAAGTGGAGTGATGGCCTGCGCAGATTCAGGTCTTGATTCTTGACGTTTGCTTTCCGTTCCAGCTAAAGTGCATCCGGGAATTATGACAGATACCCTTTGAAGTGCAGCTTTTTGGCATCTGCCAAGCGTCCATGATAGTCTTTCATAACAGTGGCAAAAGCTATCTCAGCATCAGTTTGCACAATACTGCCTGATGCCAGTACAATGACAGGAAGAAGGCTAGACCCTGTTTCTGTTCCAGAAGCTGAAGTGGAAACAAGTTAAACTGGATTGTTCACCAGTAGCTTCCAAATTCTTTTTCTTTGCTGCTAGAATGAACGGCAACAAAATCCTGGTTGAATAGTCTGTTTAATCTCGTAAGTGCTTCACTGATCTCCATGGTTGATTGCAAGATCCTTTTCTTGACCAATTATGGAGGAAGATTCAACGGGCTCCACCGTACTTCCCCTGTAAATGCGCCTCGTTGATTTGTTTCTTGAAAGCATTGCAACTGAACCGTTTCCAATCTTTAGTAGGCCATGCACGGACAACATCACAGATGTTCATAAGTGTTGGAGGATGCTTCAGTTTATTGGCAAAAAGCACTTCCGACAGGGTTTTTCATGCTCTGGTTCTGTGACTCTCAACCGTGAACGGGGTGAGGGACCAATCTGATTGACGAATTGAAGTGGGTTCAAAAGGAGTGCTTGGACACCAGACCTCATGCGACCCCATGTGGCCCCACGTGAAGGTTGGTTGGCAGAGGCAGATGTCCGGCCCCATTGACATAACGGACTCGGACGAACATTTGCAGCGGGCTAAGGAAGTTCTCTCCAAGCTTGCAAGAGCGTGCATGTGCCCTTAGTGCAGGCAAGACAAGATTCAGCACTTTCTCGATTTGACTCCGGACTGCTTTGTGGTAAGTGAGATCTGAGACACAGTGCCCATGTTTGTTTTGTATGTCTGTGTGTGTGTGTGTGAATCATTGTGAATCCGTGAGCCTTCTGAGCTCACACGTGCTGATGGGCCAAGCCCAGCATTGGCAGAGCAACGCAGCACGTGAGAGGGGACTCTTGCATTCCACCAAATACTTACTTCACTGCAAGGGCACCTGGGCCATGGATAGGTCTCGGATTGGGCAGGTGCTAACGAAGACATGTACCCAGTGACGGTGATATGGAAGCGCGCATGGGATTTGCCAAATGTGTCTCGTTGCCAAAACAACTTGCACGACTCTCAAAACAAGTGTCCTCCATTGCAGAAGTCAATGTTGAGATGGGTTGTGCAGAAACCGGCAACAAGGGGACATGCGCGAATGACACAAATTCTGCATACCCTTGGGCCAGGCCGTAACGGTGAATTGGAGGTGTGGGAGAGTTGGGCAGCATGTGTGCCGGAGGGTCAAAAGCCTTCTCAAACAGTGATGCTGCTATTTCCATCTCCATATCAGTTTCCGTGTCAATGCAGGTCCCGGTTCGAGTGCGAGCGTGAAGGTTTGTCTGTGCATGGGCAAGTGCGGGAACACATGCTTTTGCAGGACCAGGTGCGGCAGCTCTGCCAGGCAGAGCAGAAGGGTTCATGGATCGTTTGTGTGCGTGGCATGACAGATGCGCGGAAATTGTGATGCACCGAGCACACTCACCTTCCTCTTCCGAGTTCAGGTTGGATCCTGGCAGCAAAAGAATACAGGTGATCGGCTGTCAAGCCAAGGCAAGTGCATCGGAAGACCCACATTCAGACTACAAACGAGCTTCTTTCATGTTCTACCGACCCGAGGGGTTTGCGAAGTCGCGGTGCACATTGCTGTGCCTGGAAGCAGCAAGGTGCGAGTGTTTAGAGAGCTTCTTTGAATGTGTGTGGACCCAATCCCCCCCCCTCTTTCTCTGAAGACATGTGGACTCTGGCAGGAGATAGAAAGGTGTTAACCGGCCGTTGCAGATGTTTTTGGGCACAGGGGGTCATTTTAAGGTAGCAGACGTGCAATTTGCAAAAGGATTCAAAGTTGGGGGAGGATCACTTGTCATGCTGCGGGAGCCAAAACAGGACACAGGCTGAAAGGAAGGAAGCGACAAAACAGCAGAAACCACAATTCCCATTCCAGCATGTTTGTGGCACAAAAGAAAGAAGAATAAGGTCGTCACAACCAAGCAGGCCTGAAATGCGAGCCGCACTGTCCACATCGCTCGAGGTGTCCCTGTGTCGCATGTTGCTTCCAAGCACTCACCTCGTCTTTGCCGCTACAGTGTCCGGATTGTGTCGGGCCGGCATCGTCGACGGCTCCACCATGCTTCTTTGTCCTGGTCCGCTTTTGGTTGGCCAGCATTGCAGTCCTCAAGCCTCGCTTCGCAGATGTCCTTCGGTTCTTGTTTTCGTTGGTGCCTGTGTGCCTCTGGACAGCATCAAGCTTGTGCTCCATTCTGCGGATGGCACCTCTACCATAGTCTGTACAACACGTGGCAGGACACTGTCTTGTACTTTTGCTCAAGTCCGCAGTCAAGTAAGTTTTTTGTCGCTTTCGCTTGGGTGCAGGGGTAAGGGTTGAGGATCTAGGGTATAGGGTTTAGCACTTTTTGGCTTGTAGGGTTTAGGGTTTTGGGTTCAGTCTTTACGCTTTAGGTTTTGATTTGGAAGGGCCGCGGTGGTGTCTCTGCTTTGCTGCAGCAGAACGCAGCACGGTGTATGAAGCATTTAGAGCCCTCGTGTTAAAAAGTTCCACACGAAATCAAAGCAGTGCCTGCAATTGCGGGGTTTGGGTTTAGGGTTTAGGGTTTAGGGTTTAGGGTTTAGGGTTTAGGGTTTAGGGTTTAGGGTTTAGGGTTTAGGGTTTAGGGTTTAGGGTTTAGGGTTTAGGGTTTAGGGTTTAGGGTTTACGGTTTATATAGGGTGAACGGTTGAGGGTTTCGGGTACCCTAAACTCTTCACACGCCCTATCGCAGATCAATCCGCAACCGTGTACCTCTACTACAGTCTACTACAGTCGTAACATCCCCAATGCAGCGCAAGCCGGAAGCGTGTACCCTTGAAGTCTGAGGCCCCCCTTCCAAGCAAAAGCCCTGAATCTCAAACACGATCAGTAGAAACACCGTGTGAGCGCGAAATTCCTCGAGTGTTTAAAGGTTCCTGTCAAAGCACAGGCATTTCGATGTGTTCCTGTGCCTATTTGTATTGTGTTTTACAATGCAAAATGCTCCTGTGATGTTTTGGTGCACTTGTGTGTTGCTCTTAGTTCTTGGCGCATGGAGCAAAGTAATTTTAACGCTACGCGACCCGCCTCGGCCCGGCCCAGCGCATCCGCGTGAGCATGGTGATTCCGCAGCGCCCAAGTCGCTGGACCCCAAGCAATAAGGGTTGGGTTTAGGGTTTAGGGTTTAGGGTTCCGGGTTTATGGTTTATGGTTTATGGTTTAGTTTAGGATTGAGGGCTTAGGGCTTGGGGTTTAGGGTTTTTTTGGGAGTAGGGTTCAAGACGGTTCGGCTTGGATTGATCGTAGGGTTGAGCCAGGCCTCTCAGGGGGGTAGGGGGAGTGGGGGGGGAAGTGCTTCGGGCTTAGGTTTAAGATGTAAGGGTTTAAGCTCAGAATCAAAAACCCGCTCACCAACTGCAGTGGGGTGGAGGGGGGAGGGGGGGTGGGGGGGGGGGGGTGGGGGGGGGGGGGTGGGGGGGGGGGGGGGGGGTGGGGGGGGGGGGGGGTGGGGGGGGGTGGGGGGGGTGGGGGGGGGGGGGGGGGGTGGGGGGGGGTGGGGGGGGGGGGGTGGGGGGGCGGGGTGGGGGGTGGGGTGGGGGGTGGGGGGGGGGTGGGGGTGGGGGGGGGTGGGTGTGAAGAAAAAGGGGATGGGCGCTTGCTGGGAGGGGCTTCAACCTCCGGCCCGAGGCCTCGGCGGATTAAGCAACGAGTTTTGAGGTCTGCCTACCTTAAAGGACGCGTGTCAATGCTCTGATTTTTTTCAATAATTTCGACCGTAAATTCCTCGAGTTTCAGTACGCTTGCGATGGAAAACGAGCTTTTTTTACACAGAAAAAGCCTATGCCGATTTTTGTCCTGCACGCTCTTACCAATACACAACGCGTGTCTCCACAATCGTGCGCGCGTGCACAATGTCCGAGTGCTCTTACCGGTCTCTTCCGCACATTCTTTTTCCGTCGTCCTTTTTCCGTGTTTGTTCAGATAGAAAGCCAGAAGACTCCAGAAACTAGTGCGTTATGCGTTATGGAACGTGTGATCTGAAAGCACTGGGTGGCCCCTCCGCTTCCGGCACCGTAGATTTTGGCATCCTTTTTGTTACTTCGGGGTTTCGGCTGCGCAGAGAGGTGGCTGAGACGGTAGATGTTGGCTGGAGCCCGAGATGACCGGCGTTCTAGGCGGACGGTTCTACGAGACCATGTCCAGGCTCGAACTGTGGAGCTGCCCAAGAAGTCAGTAGCAGCAAAGCTGGAGTGGATGGCCCAGCATGCCCAGCATGCGCAGCCGAATCTGGTGTCACGGCCTCCTGTTTTTTATCCGCTTTACTTTTTCGATTGGATTCGAGCCAATGTCCTGAGTTCATCTGCGGCCTGGAGAGCGTTCTCTATGACGAGTGGGGCCCTCAAGGGTCCTGGCGAGAAGAGCCAGGTGTGACAGCGAACTGCAACGAGGCCATCGCGCTCGACCTGCAGGGTCCAGGAACCTTCAAAGGTTCTGTGCGTGAAGCGGGCAGATATGCAGCACTTGGTCACATACTCAGACACCTGGCCATGCAGCTGCAGACTTACCAAGATACCGACCTCAGGTTGCTGCAGAGCCATCCATCGCCAACTGACACTCGGCTTCTATTCCAACAGCGGTAGCCCAGCTGCTCCGAGAGCAAAGCCAATTGCTTGATAGAAACAGGCCTGGGCAGAATTGCAACCCGGCAGTTCGAATCTCAGCGGTTCATGCGGTGATGTGCTGTGACGTGCTGTGGCGAGCGTGTTACACTTGTGTGTTGCATTCTTAAGGTTCTTGCGCCACAGTGACGTGCTGTTGCAGGTGAGTCGCCTTACACAGAGTTTCCACAGTGCTCGTGAGGGAGCTTGAAGAGTTGCCGAAAAAGGCCTTGCAGCTAAGCGAAGGTGGTGGATGGAAAGGCCTCCCTAGTGGTTCCGTCTGTGTTGTGTATGTGTTGTCTACTTATTCTGGTGTTCTCACCAGGAGGGCATTTTGACAAGCACACTGCGGAAGTTTGCTTGGAGATGCTTGGGCAAGAGAGCAAGGCCACACCCTCCCAGGTCAAGGTGCTGCATGATCTGGGGCTTCTTTCTTAGAAACAGGCGGAGAAGGGCAGTCCGACAAGACGGATTTCCAACGCCCTACCGGAGACGCTTGGACACTTGGTGGCACCATTGGCAGCTTAAGATAGATCCTTAAGTGCAGCCCTCGAGGGCTGAAGGCTGAGAGCGATCTTTTTCACATGGGCCTCTGCTCACACTTTGTGCCCCAAACCTTGCTTTTTATAATTGGGGGAGATTCGAGTTCGGAGGCAACCTCAGTACACCAACCGTTCCGCGGAAGCGGCAGAGTGCTCAGCGGAGTGCACGTGGAGTCCCTCGCTGACTGCTTTGACTCCCTTCTTTGATCCCCTTGTCGCCAAAAGTCGGCTTTGGAGGTACATCAGAAGGCAAGGCACGATCGATGCCTGGGCACTGAAATGGTCACACTACCGATTTTTCGCTTCGGATCTCCACCCTTTGTGTGTGTCTCTATCTTCACGTCTGATGCCAGGTTGGAAGAGCGCAGCAGCAATGATCAGGCAAGGGCAGCTCCATCCTAGGTGGCTGTCTTCCCTTGCCTGTCCTGGCTCAATGACGAGCCTCAATTGGCCTTGTTAATGCTTCCTGCACCCCAGCCTGCACATACCATTTTCCAGCGGCTTTGGGTGTTGCTGAAAGGTTAGTGACGGTTAGTGCTTAGAGAGGCACGAGGAGGCTTTCGGTCCAACATGGAGCCTAGCTCCGAGAGGGTTTCGGCTTTTTGCGGACCAGTCGCATGTTCGATGCGAACGAAGTTTTCTGCCTCCACAGCGCAGTGCGCTGCCGCGGCATTGTGGCGGCGTCATTGCGGCGTGCCATCTTGACTTCGTGACCATGCGTGGCCTCTAAAACGAGGAGACCAGAGCAACAATACATGCGCTTAGCAATGCATGCGATTTGTGTTTGTTTGCGAATTGAAGAGCTACAGCCTTGTGCAAAGCCTTGAGGATGATCTAGAGCGGCCAAGATGCGATGTATTGTGCAGCCATTGCCTTGATCAGGAAAGCATAGTCCCGGCAGAAACACGCAGCCATGGGAAACGCAGGTTGCTGTTCCAGCAAGGATGGTCACCCTGCCTACGAGGCCTTGTCCACAGCGACGTCAAGCATCACTGGACGCAAGAAAGCCTTGCTGGTAGGCCTCAACTACCGCAACTCGCGCGCAGAGCTGCACGGATGCATCAATGATGTGAACAACATGCAGCAAATCCTGGTGAAGCAGTACGGCTTTCAGCTTGAGGACATCATGATGCTGAACGAGGATCAAGACAAAAGCAAATGGCCTACCAAGAAGGTGATCCTGGAGGGGATGCAGTGGTTGTACAAGGATGCAAAGAGCGGAGATCTACTGTTCTTTCACTACAGCGGCCATGGCTCCACGTACTCGGTGGACAAGAAGGCAATGCCTGCTGACTGCATTTGCCCCTTGGACTGCCTTGACAAGCCGTGGCCGGAAGCAGTCATGCTCGACACTGAGATTCACGACAATCTCTACGATCCCTTGCCAAAAGGTTGCAAGGCCGTTTGCATCTTCGATTGCTGCCACTCTGCTACCGTCGCAAACCTCTGTGAGACGATGGTCGTCAAGGAGGGGCCCCTGACTGCGGCCAAGAAGGAGAAGTTGGTGAAGCAGCTGACGAAACAGAAAGACGATGTGGCTGCCAAGGTCCGCTTCTACCGCGAGATTAACTCCGGCAAGCTGGACATCAAGAAGAAGAGCCGGGATGAAATGATCCAACTTCTGGAGAAGCATGAGTTCCCGAAGAAGGGCTCATACTACGAGGACGAGCAGGCGAACTACAACTATCTCATGGGCATGTCCATCTCCACGCTCTTCAATGAGTCTGTGAAGAATGCCGAAGACCTGCTGGATGCAAAGACCAAGGCTCTGGCACACGTGCAAAGCCTAAAGCCTGGCGAGGGCGCCAAGATCTACATCGGCAACCTTGAACAGGATGAGCAGACTCTTGGCCTGTGTGGCAAATGTTGTAGTGTCATGATCCTTCGGCTGTTTTTGTTGTCTGGGTCTTGTGTGACGAGTACTGTGTATCGGAGAGAACGTTGGCATGAGTGACTTTTGCCAGGTCTGCATACACCAAGAGCCATTCCAGCAAGGAAATCCGGTTGCGGTACCTCCCCCAACCAGAAATGGATCAGGATGAAGATGCCCCGCCAGCCAAGCCACTTGGCACAGGCTTGCGTGGTGCCCTCAGGAAGGCCAAGTACTCAGATCATGAGCTCTGGATCTTCTCGGGCTGCCAGGACGATCAAACAAGTGCTGACGCACATGTGGACGGCATCTACCAGGGAGCCTTTACCTGGGCTCTTATCAAGGCTTTGAAGACCGATGCATTCATGGAGAGCTACAGCAATCTGCTCATCCAAATCAAGGAGAACTTGGAGAGCGGCAGCTACAAGCAGGTCCCAGCCCTGTCCACGACACACAAGATGTACCTGGACTTCGGCTTCTTGGACTTGGACCTTTCGCTAGTGTCGCCACCAGCCGACGCGCGCCAGTGCAGGTAGCTAGTTGCCTGTTGTCCCGGTGTTGCCCCGGTGTTGCCCCGGTGTTGCCCCGGTGTTGCCCTCGTGTTGCCCTCGTGTTGCTCTCGTGTTGCCTACTAAGGCTTCTGTGGAAAGCTCAAAGAGAATGGACCGAGCATTGAGTGAGGCTGTACTTTGCAGCCAGGCTGTACTTTGCAGTGAGGCTGTAGCTTGCACTGGCAGCCTTTGCCTTTGCTCTCTGAGCCTTTTTGACGAGATTGCCCGGCAAGTCTTTCAATAAGTGTCCCCAAATGGGGTGCCGCGCTTTTTCGAACTCGGCGTGCAACACCTGAGCTTTGGAGTTGTTCATAAACCACATTGTTCATTGTTCGTTGTGAACATCTGGGCAGGTAAGCGGGCTTCTCAGACATGTCCTCGCAGTGTTGCATTTCCTCTCTTCAGCTGTGCCGCATGCTGCTGCCTTCAAGGACAGTTCGTACATGTTTGTACTTAGCAGACACAACACTAGCATCGCATGATCCAGGCAAACTGAGTGAGGAACTCGAAGCAATGCAATCCTACACTGTTGCCGAGGAACACCTTGCCATGCGACAAAGGTGCTACCGGTGTGCGACAGAAAGCACCTTTGAATTAGAGCGTCTCGGGATGGCGCGAAGATGTCGCAGTGCACCCGTGGCAGTGTCGTCGCTGCGGCAGCCGCCAGAGACCCGGGGCATGTCGGGGAGCAGTGCTTGTGCTTCCCAGAGAGCTAAACACCAGTGCTTCAGAGTGCTTCTCCTTTTGAAAGCGAATTTCGAATTTTTCGAATTTTTCGAGTTTTTCGAGTTTCGGGTTTCCAAGGGTGCTCTCCTGGGCCTCGTCTTCATCTCTGCATCATCCTCCTGGCAACTCGGGGTGCCTCTGCTTCACTGGATGCGCGCGCCGCTGCAGACCCTACTTCTCAGTTATAAAAAGGGTGAGTGCGTGAGTCTGAGTGAGTATGACCAGCAGCTGACCAGCACAGGTCAGATTTGCTTCTTTCCTACCCCAGTGTTTTCGAACCTGCATGTCGCCTCAATTTCTTAACGGTTGTTGCGCTTTATGTGTTGTGGTTGTTCAGCCATATGTTCCCATGAATGAAATGCAGAACTTGTCACAAAGCGCCTATTCGACAAGAATGGTACCTGCCAAAAAACGTGGTTCGATTGAAATCATCAAGCTTGGTACTGAGAAGCGTGTTTTTGTGAGACACGCACTTTTCAGTCTCTCAGCTCAACGACTCATTTTGTACGATCTCTTGGGTCCAGCAGAGATGAGCTGTATCTGCGATTCAGGGAAAGTTTAACAACGACTAATGCAAATAGAAACTCAACTACTTGTTGCACGAAGCTGATTTTTCTTGCTCGTTGAAAGGCTGGTGGCATAGAAGAGTTTAACCTCCCCTATCCGTATCCTAACCACCTTGCGCTGAACCGCCCATCATGCATCCGCACCCAACATTCTCATGAGCGTACCGGTGGCTTTAAGGTCTCAGACGTAAACATGTAGTCTTTGCTGCGTGCGCAAACATGGTGAACGCACGTCTTAGCATAGTCAAGCACAAGGCTTCCTGCCGTCGCTGCCCAGGACGTGTCCGAAGCGCAAGCTGAGCAGAACATCCAAGAGGACAAATCCCAACGATGAGAATGAAGACATAAAGACATGGTCACATGAGTTAACAGTTATGTTTGCAGCGCACGTCAGACTGCGTTTCGAGGCGGCGCCGCAGCACGCTGCTGCAGGGTCACCGGCGCCTTGCTGTCCTGCCTACTATTTTTCTTTGTTGTTTTTGCGCGGTGTCGGGTTGTTCAAACATATCCAAACCCAAGCTTGGGTAGACTTGAGTAGATCTGGGCGAATTGGGGCAACAGTTTGGGGGCCAATCTTCATTTGTGCTTCCTGGAGGTACCGCGCCCTTTGCCCGCACCGCCTGTGCCAGCACTGCCTGTGCCCGCACCGCCTGTGCCCACACGGCCAACAAGCCAAGGTAGCCTCCAAGACGAGGCGGGGTTGTTGCGGCGTGTAGCGGAATGTATCGGCTGTCGGGATGTACAGCGCATAATATCCCTTTATTGTCAGCAGCTCCCTTGGCTTGGAAGCTCTCGTTGGGCTCGCTGGATCCTAGCCCCTAAGAGAGGCTTCGAAGCAAAAGGAACGTTCCTGATTTCAGTCTTTTGGACTGGTGTTGCCTCGAATGATGTCGGCCAATCTTCGTGTGCTTGGGACAGGCTTGTGAACTGGTCCCTGGGTCCTTGGCGTCGGGGGTTGGTCGGCTTTGGGTTTTACCGACGTTGGCAGGCTTTTCGGAGTAAGGCTGAAGGAATGAACTGCTTCAGTGTACGATTGCCCCTCAAGTCTCCAACGGCCTATGAAGGTCTGTGTGGCAGACCAGCTTACACGTCCACCGCCAGTCGCAGCTCAGATGCGACATGAGTTGCATTCTGTAACAGCAGGCCAGCTGTATAGAGAGTTCATGGATCTCCTGTTCGAAATCTCCAAGTGTTTTGAAGACTTTGTTCCCTGCAGCCCTATCCCCCCTGAACTCTGGCAATTTGCAGGACAGGATGGTGGTAGCTGGCCTGTCTGTTCTGATTGCAAATTGTACCTGTAATCCTGGCGTCGTGTCGCTGGAGGTATATGGTGCAGATGGAACTTGGATGGAGGCAGGCCATCCTTAACAGAATAAGAAATCTGTTCAACGCCCAAGTCATGTCTTCAGCAGTTTGTGTACATCTTCCACAAACCAGCGCCAGCGTTCATATATTGTTTGTTGCTAGGTGTCCTTCCTCAATGGTGATCTCTCGGGCAAAGGTGGGAACCGAAAGGCCACGAACAATGTGGGATGCATACGCATGGAGCATGGAAAGGCTACAAGACGAGCCCAATGTGCCAAAAACCTTGGACAAGCGATGTGGTTGGCCGGCCCATCATCGTCCACAGCCTAAGCTTATTTGTCCATCACCCCTTGCCACATGCGAAAATGCAAGTAACTCCGTCGTTGACAAAGGACACGACTGCTACGCTGGTGCAGCGGGCTATCCGTGTCGGTCACCCGAAGAAGCTAAGCTGCGAAGGTGTGCGACGTGTTGCGGAGCCAACATTTGTCGGTTGACTTGCTCCCTTCTCTCGACTTGCTACAAGATACTACAAGCCACCTCATCAGACACTTGAGACAACTGCAAGCAGAACTCGCTGCATTTTTGGTGCCGGCCCGTTGGAAAACCGAAGGAATGGCATGCTGAATCCAAAGAGCGTCTGGGATGCATGAAGGCATTGCCGGTGTCCTCGAGAAGTTGCAACCTACCAGGCAGCGCTTGAAAATAGGCTCCTTCCAAAGTTCCAAGGTGATGTGGTCATTCCAAAACCGTGTGCGCGGCCAGTCACTTGTCGCAAGCTTGTACGTTTTTGCATGTCATGTCCTTAAAGCAGCTACAGATAGCTGGTGAGCTGAGCTCGTTGTTCCGTCAGGTACCGAAGATCCTGCACTTCATTTGGCTTTGCTCGCCGCTCTCGGAGAGTCGAGCCAGCCATGTTCAAGGGTTTGCGGCTTGGCAGAAGTGGCAATCGCACCACTTCGCGACGCATTTGAGCGCAACGGGCACCTTCTGGTGTATGGTGGGATGGGTAGGTGGCCAGGTGGCTTCCAGGCACAAGAGACTTTTGATGACAGACCGAACATCAGGGCAGCAAACCAGCAGCCCGGGGCCAGATACGGGTCGCAGACACAGCACCTTGAAAGCTCTAAACCTGGCGAAGCCTTTGCAAATCAGCATTGTGCTCTAGGCATTTTGGGTGTGTCATGGTGTGTCCTCATGCACTCATCCGTGCCACAACCGCTTCATGGCCATCGGTGGATGCTGCAGGCAATCAAGAACCCAAACTACCGCATCCTGTTCTGGACCGACACGGACACGGGTCTGCACAATCTGAGATGACCTGCATGTCTGACACGATGGCAAACAGCTCTCAAGGGGGTTGAGCTTTGCTTTTTTCTGCAGCCAAGAGTGCACGTAGGACATGCATCTTCAGCAGCCATGCACACTTGCTCAGAGGAGATTCCACCTGAATCAAAGATGGTTCTCGAAAATGGAACATCCTCGCGACCAGCCGGTGCTATTGAACTCAAGGACAGCGTGTCACCTATTGGCACGAGGTGAACGTAGAGCCATGTCGGGAACTAAGGCAGGAGTTCAGGCGCTGGATTCGGGAACCCCGGGCGAAGCTTCAAGAACCCTGCTAACAGATTCAGGGACCCTGACCCGGAGCACGCAATTCCACATATCTAGGCTCAACTTGCAGATGTTGTGTGTATGCGTGAACATAAACCCCGTACAGCCTCAATGTCAGGGTTCGGGGTTTTCAGGGTTTAGAGTTTTTATGGCTCAGGCTCTTAGAGTTTTGATTTGCTTTTGGGGCTGTTTGTTTTTCGGGCTTCGGGCTTCATTTTTTTTTTGGTTTTTTTCGTTTTCAGGCTCCTTTTGGCGTCAAGGGTTTTTAGGGTTTAAGCTTTTTAGGGTTTAGGCTTTTTAGGGTTTAGTGCTTCAGGGCTTCTAAGGTTTAGGGTTTTCCGATGTTTCTTTTATGTTCCAGGGTTACTGCGGTTTTTGGATTGTCACTGTAAAGGCGTTTTAAGGTTTAAGGTTTTCAGGTGTGTGTTTTTGGGGTTTCAGGTTGTTTTAGGGCTTTGGGCTTGTTAGGGATTTTTAAGGTTTAGGGATCCCCAAATACTCATCAACTGACCTCCTCAAGCCCCCCGAAAACCTGCATGCAGAATTACATACCATAGAGCTTCACATGTCCGAGTGTCTTTGGTCCTCCTGCAGTACCCGCGTGCAGCACTGTGCGCACGAATCGTCGCGTCTCGCCCCCCCCCGGCTGTCTATTCGCGGTTCCTGAAAGTCGGCACGCAGTGCGCGGTCTCGGTTCCTGAAGTGCCCTGGTTCCCTAATTTTGGCGTCTGAATTTCGAGACTTGGTTCCTGAATCTGGCGCCTGAATGTCTTGGCATCCGGCATGGGGTTGTGTAGTCTATTTTGGTTTTTGTCCTTGCTCGCAGGATGCCTACTCGGAGGCACGAAGCTGAACTGCCAGAAAGTGTCAGCCGGTAGCCGGCAGCAGTCAACAGTCCGGAGTGCAGGCGCTTGGCGCATCCTGTGTGGTACCAAGCTGAAGTCAATGTCTTGAAATGTCTCTTAAGGCGCAGTCCTTCCAGTCCCTTCGCCTGATCCGCCACTTGGATACCTTCCATGAGAACAATCGGAACCCAGGTCGGATTTGATAACCTTGCGAATCGGGTGTGGACGTGACCTGCCACCCGTTTCTTGCCGTTGCAGCAGGTGTTTGCGCCCTGAAGTCTCACTTCTGGCGTCTGGAGGCATCTGCACATGGAGTAATACTCACACACATAGTGGCCGCAGGTGTGAGGGGGTGTGCTCATGCTGGAGTTTCTTTGCTTGACCGCTGTGTCGGCTATACCGCTGGCACATCCTGAGGCTCCGTTGAAGTACGGGGGAATCTATATTGACATGGACCACGTGGCAACTCGCACCTTGCCTGGACCAAACTACAAAAGGTTGTGAGAAAGTAAGGAAGAAATTTACAATGCTACTGTAATTTATCTTCTGATCTGCAGTATAGTTGGTTTCTTAGCGTCCTCAACGTGCCTGGTGCGGTGTCGACATTGTGTTGACAGTTCTATACACAGTGTCCAGACGCAAGGGCGTTCGCGCCCACAGGCAGTCAATCAAAAAAAAAATACACAGTGTCCACAAGTGCAAGTTTGTCTGCGCGAACTCAGGTGGATTTGATGAAGTGGGAGGTGCTGAGTTATGGAGGTGGCCCTTCGTCACGCACAAGGCTGGCAGACCAGTCATGTCATCCCAGAAAAGCCCACACAGTTGTCACTGGTGGGGAGTTTTCTGATAGCCATGCTGTTGAGGTTTTCTGGCATGCGGCATGCCCGGCATGCTGCAAAGCTTGGATCAGGTATGTGGGGCGAACATCGGCAATCATATTTTCAGTGGTGATAAAGGCAACCACCCTTTCATTGCTCGCATGCATTCTGCTTCTTGTGATTTGCAGTTAAGACTGGAAACTACGATTGACCGCAGGCTCTGGGTTCTTGGACTTTGCCATCAAAGTCATCATGGAGCGAAGTCTGGCTGCAGTTCGCTTGTCATATCGTCTCTTTGAGCAGCTGGAGAGCATGAGATGCATGTCAGAACCAGGCTGTGAGAAGCTCAGCTCCTGCAATGTCCTGGAAGGCATTGCAGCAAAACAGCTTTCTGCTTCCGTGTGATGAGTCGACTCGAGTGCGATCACCAGTGCATCGTTCAAGAAGACTGCAGCAACCTCCAGAATAAATACAGCTCCTTGTAGCCATTACCACTTCCGATGTCTACTCTCTCTGGCGATCTGGGGGGTCGGTATCGGGTATCCATGGTATCCATTGGCCATGTCGCCCCCAACCCGACATCCTGAAACCTTTCAGACCCTAGCCCCGAACCCCAAGCGCCGTGAACCAACCCTGATCATTAAACCGCTTGTCAGGCACTGGGCCACCACCGTTTGCGATGAGCGCTTGCCACCCAATCTCTGGCAGTCACGTTTACGCTTTTGTGTCCACGGGTTTCAAGCTTAGGCAGCTTAGACTTCAGAGTTCATGGGTTCTGGGTTTGGGCTTAGTTGTTGGGTTTCAGAGGTGTTGAGATACAATGCCTCTGACATGGCCTTCATCGGAGAGGCCTGGTTGCACTACGGTGGGCAAGTTGAGGGCCAAAGAACCGAAGTCTCGATTGTGATTCCGAAGCTGCGATCCGCGATTGGCCTTCGCACTGTCTGACTCAAGAATGTGGATGTCTTGCGTAGAAGCTGCTTGGGTGGGGGCTCCCATAGGACTGGCAAATTGTGGGGACACGAGGGTCCGAACCGATGTTCCTCACAGTTTCCGAATCCACCTCCTCAGTTTCAGACATCATGGAGTCAATGTGAGACAGTGTGTTGTGTTTTTTCCAGCAGTGTCTTCGGCATTGTTTCGCTAAGGATCAGTTCTTTGGCCGCACGGGCATAGCAGCACACAAGGCAGAGCACTCCTGGCGATGAGATGAATGACATGGTGGATGCGAGTATGCGAGAGTGTCTGTGTGTGTGTGTGCGCGCCCTGGAACGGCACCCTAACGTCAAGTCTCTCTCATGCGGCAGCCAGATGTTGATCGAAAGCTCATTGCCGGCTGCTTGACGACGGGTTGCCACATGATGACCATGGCCACGACGCCCTTGTCCTCATTTCGTCGGCGCCATCCAGCTCGCCAGACGTTGTCATGGCCACTGGTGATCTGAGCCAGCGTGCAATTTCCAGAGCCGGTGCTTGACATCGTGACGTGCCAGGCTGATCACGGGCAAAATACGAACATACTGCAGCCACAGTCTTGCTTGGAGCTTTTGAAGGTGTAGGTAGCCTACTCGTTTGATGCTCGGAAGAAGCCAAGGAATGAAACTTGTTGAAAACGTAGAGCCGTGGTTGGGTTGCTGTATCCGAGAGCAGTAAAGCGAGTACTGTTTTGAAAGCAGGAGGCCGTTGTGATGGCAATGTCTCAGACAAATCTCTTTGCTAAGCTCCTTCTCCCTGCCCGTTCGACGGTTCACGTCTTGTGCTGGCAAGCTTGCAGCATGCTCAGAAGGACGTTAGGGGACAGTGACATGCAAATTGGCATGAGCTATACATAGCTGTATATAGTTGTCATACTGGGAGACATACTCCGCTTTCCACGAGTTCCACGGTTCCCACCAGCAGCAAAGCCGCTGCCATGTCATCAACGCAAGGTCGCCAGCCATGTGTTGCTTCCAAGTGCTTCGTCGCAAAGAACCCATGAGTTGAAGCAAGCTGCTTGTAGGACCTTGTAGGACCTAGCACAGCTCTGTTGAGGTGCCCTCTGGTCTGATCCCGATCAGTCCTTGCTGCCACCTTCGCACCAACCCAAGACAGGTGCGAGCGCCTTGCTGGCCAGCTTGAAGCACAGAAGAAATGCGGCGCGGTTGCAAATGAAAGTTTCGCCAAAGCTTTCAAGTCCTCATACGCGTCGCATTTGCCCAGGGTACCTCCACAATTACCCACTGTCCGCAGGTGGTTCCAAGCCAACGTGATGCTCGGGGCTCTGATGAATCTGTGCTGTCCGAGAGCTTCAAGGGCAGAGAGTGCTAGAGACATTGCAAATCCCGTTTGCACCATGATCGGCTCAGACACTGCTTGCCTCACGAATTGCTTCAGACACGAGGCGGGAGAGTTGCTGGAGAAGACCGCACGCTTTTTGGAGGCGTGCAGAGAAGGAGAGAGAACTACCCCACCCAGCAGCATGCCTCGACACGCCCATTGACGACTCACTGTTGGAAAATAAGAAGATTTATGTTGCCTCCTGGCGGCGGCAGAACATAGCTCGCACCAGAGTCCAAGGTGGTCATTGGCGACTTTTTTAGCTGAGATGTTCTGCCTGCCAGGCAAGGGAAACCACCAACCCTCAAGATGCGACGCATCAGGCAGATTACTATGTGACGATGTGTCAGTTGTTCATCTGGCACAAGCGTGGAAAGCATTGGCACTGAGGTGTTGAAGGACTTCGGCGATTGGTGGTGCAGCGGTCCTTCTCTCGGTATGGTGAGGTATGGAAAAAGTTAAGTTCATGCATCCTTCCAGGTACCACTTATGCAGTTCACCAGGTCAAAAAAACACGAAGAAACTTGCCATCGCAGAGACTGGCACACTGGAGGTCCTGTGTGAGTCCGCTACTGATCTCTGCACATGTGTTTTTGCAACTGTATCGATTGTGTGCTTGCTGTGGCTGTAGGCTGTAGCAAGTCAATGTGTGCAGTTTGCCCAGGGGAGAGGCGCGAAACAGAGTGAGAGGGAGAGAGAGAGAGAGAGAGCACTATCACGAACGCTGACTTCGCGGTGTCCCTGGGCGAGATAGGTCTCGCGCTGATACGGCTCGTTCACAAAGCCGACCTGTAGGTTCGCCGATCTCCTTCAGGTGTCGGTTCTCCCTCTCGCCACAGCGTGGTCACCGATGTGCTGCGTTCTTTACGTCCCCCCCCGGGCCCGCAGGATGGAAGATTCGCCCGGCAAGCGCTAGGGCAAAGAAGAGGGGGGCTCACCATTGAGATCCGCGACACCTTCAAGGTGGAGTTGATAGCGAGGACCAATGGCACGACAACATGAAGAGGGAGGTGGAGTCAGCTGTGGGGGGTGTTACCGACAGACTCGCACAGGTGGAGGCTGGGGTCACACCAACTTCCGACGACCCTCGCCCTCTTGCAAAAACTCACCGAAGACAGTAACAGAGACAGGGGACGCGTCGCTGAGATGCAGGCCGAGCAAAAGTCCATAGGGGAGCGCTGGCCAAAGCCGTGCGTGCGGACTTCTCCCGGCAGTGGACACGGATCCAGGTTGTTGGGGGGGACGAGGTCCAGCCCTAATCATCGGAGGGTGGTCGGAAGATTACCCCCGCGAAGAGACTTTGAGGAAAGCCAGTGATGTTCTCCGCCCCCGCACAGACACAGGCAGCAACACTCAAGCAATTCAAGTCCCCAGTACAGTCAAGTCGGGGGAAACCTTGCGAGACAAAGTCCAACGCATCGGACACCAGATGGCGGACGAGGAGCGCGAGCACCCGAGGCCAGCGACCACCTTCCTGGGTAAGTAAGTACTCGACCATTCCCTGTTGTGGGTGCTCATATTTCTCAGCGTGTCAAACCAAAGCCTCTTTTTTTTCTCCATTTTTCGTGGCCACTCAGTGACCAGTCAAGCCCGACAATCTATGGGGGAAGCAGTGTTCAACCACGTGCGAAGTTGGAGGCTGCACGTTTTGCTGGCTGGCATTCACAGCGAGCTTGTCGTTGCGCGCTTTTCATCAATCGGGGGAACCCCGGTACATAACTTTTCTATGAACAACAGCTCTCCGTGGTTTGCACCTGTGTTGGGTCACCAAGCGACTTCGACGGACGAAGGGCGCCTTGTGCGCTGGGGTAACCTCATGCCCAGCAAAATAGGAAGAGAGAGAGAGACCCTTTTAAGCGTGGAGAAGGAGGAAGAAGAAGAAGAAGAAGAAGAAGAAGAAGAAGAAGAAGAAGAAGAAGAAGAAGAAGAAGAAGAAGACAAACTCAGCGCGGGGGGGGGGGGGGGGGGGGGGGGGGGGGGGGGGGCTGGGGTGGGCTGGGGGGGGCTGGGGCTGGGGAGGGCTAGCGGAGGGTTGGGGTGGGGGTGGGGTGGGGTGGCATGGAGGGGCCGCCGGTTGATGCCTCTGAGCCCCAAGACAGAAAGAAGAAGCAAGGGAGAGGGCGATAAAGCAGAGCAAGACGAACAGCAGCGAAATTAGTAACGTCAGTGCTAAGACTAAAGCTGCATACTAGTACTACCCAAGTACGAACTACAAAACACAAAATACGAGATACCAAATAGACGACTAAGACGAAAGCAAAGAATGACGGCGGCGACTATGACTCAAAATTGCCACTTCTTCTACTACTGATATCGATAGTAAATCGTATTTATCGTAAAAGCATATACGCAGGAAAGAGAAAGAAGAAGAAGCGAAAGAATACGAAGAATAAGAAGAAGGATAAGAAGAAAAAGAAGAAGCAGAAGTGCGTTCGCGGCACTCATAGAGTGGGAAGGAGAGGGAGCCAGGGAGCCGTGCCTTGCACTTGCACCGAGGCACATCGCCAAGATGTACCAGCTGGGGGCTCCACTTACTTTAGGACGTTGCCGGTAGAGCTGGTGCCTTTAGGATCCCAGCGGGGTAGAAATGTATTGCGAAGTGACATCCTTGCCTGCAAGTGGAACGTTTAGTTGCTTCCCATATTGCCATCAGCTCCACAGCCATCCGGTGGCAGGAGAGAAACGGACAGAGCAGTTCAGCTTTTTCCAGGCCAGGGTTCTGTGCGAGAAGCAAATCGGTTGAGATGAAGCGTGAAGTTGAATCCGAGAAGCAATGAACACCGGGGCTTTAAGTTGCAGTTCGGAACAGATAGTGCTTGGCCACACGTCTTTCCAGGACATCGAAATCCGCTGGAACAAGTCGGACACCATAAACAAGGAGAACAAGATCGATTATGGAGACATCGCTGGTCCAAACAGTGCTTTTCTCCGACTTCTAGGACATCACGGCATGATGTCGTAGTCAAATGGCATTGACAAGGTCTGGTTTGAAGGGTGCATTGGGCTGTATTTGGATCAGAGGCATCCGCTTCACATCGCTGTGTAGCGCTGTTGACCAGTCTCCCGGAAATCAGTGGACGTCTTGGACCTTTCTGCTTGGGTCATGTCTACGCCCACCGAAGGACGCATCATGGCAGAGCTCTATCCGAAGCAGGAGAAATTTCAAGTGGTCGTCTTGGATGCCTCGGGGCCCAGCAGTCGGCTCCACAGCCTTCAGAGTTTCCGCTGCAGGAACTAGAGAGGTTAAGAGAGGTGTTAAGAGAGGTCCTGACCTGAATGAAAGAGGCAAGCTCGGCGTATCGCAGACCGTGGTGCGCCTGGTGTGGTCTGGACCCCACCATCCAGCGAGTTGCAAAATCTTCAGAACCATGAGCTCGCCTTCTTGTTTCCAGAGAGTGGTAGGATGTGACTTTTGCTTTAAAAGATACGTGCTGTTAGGATTAGGACTGCCTGCACTGAGGCAAATCCCCAGCGGCCAGCTGCGGCCTTAAGTCAAGTCACAGCTAGGATCCCCTTCTCGCGTGTGTCGGATCTCTGCTTTTCTTCGTCCCTCTGTGGTCGCATGAATGCCCGAGGGAGGGCAGAAGTGAAGTCGTGAGTTTACACATGCGTACACTTTGAGCGGCCGTCCCTGCAGGAGCGGCATGCAGAACATTGTTGTCACCGATCAGCAGGCCTTTCGCATCGTGGATTACATGGTGTTGGGGGCTCAGTAACGGTGCAGAGATGCTAGTAACATGCCAGTAACTGCTAGTAGAACAGAAAATGACAGGGACACCTCAAAGCCCACCTCAGGCTCAAAGCCAATGAGTCGACTGACCAGAGCATCAAGGAGCTTGGCAGCCGAGCTCAAACGCTTGCAACTGCTTGGAACTGAGTGTGCCGAGTGTGCCGAGTGTGCCGAGTGCTGGCCAGCATTTTTCTTGTTCTTGTGAACCAAACAGAGGTAAACACATGGAAGAGCATCTTCGCCTGCGAAGACAATTACGGAGGAAAAAGGCACTTCCGCAAGATTTATATGGATGTCATACTCTGGTCTTGCTACTTGTAGTGCACTCATCTACAGGGACAGCGGTCAGTCGGTTAATAATGCTTCCGTGCAGCACGATGGTACTACAGAGTCAGACTGCACTTTGCCAGGGGTGCCAGCATCCGGATGACCTTGAACGACGAAGTCTGCGACCCTCCGATGGTGAAGTGCTTTGGAAACAAAGTGGCCTTAACTTTCCAACCCCAATGACCCCAAATCTTAAACCCTGGTTAGTCTCCCGCTTCGTCCCCAACATATTCTAAGGGCAGAGAAGCGGCCTCTGAAGCCCGTCTTCATTCACCAGTCCGCCTCTGGAATGATTGCCGCAGTCGGGTAGGTCCAGACTCTGTGAGAGCTATCGCTGGCCAGGATCAGCAGGCATCAGGAGAATGTGCAGGCACGGTTTTTGTTGCTTCACACTCTCGACAGTCGGCTAGACTAGCGCAAAACACGTCGAGGACGTGGTGGTCGAGCCATTTTGGTCCTATGATGATGATGTCGCTCAAGGCGGAGCTTGTCCAACCCTGTGATACTGGTTGTGATTCTTACTGAGGCTGTAACAGGATGCAGCGGTGTCGTTGACATTCATGGTCCACAGTATGTTCGTGTTTAGCTTTTCCACACCCTCGGTGCGGGACCATGTGGGACCATTCTCTTTCCCGTCTCCTGGCCTCTTTGGAGCCCACCCCAAGGAAGGCTGCAGAGATAAACCTGCAGAGAGAAGCCAAGCATGTGCTTCAAACCGCAAGAGTCCGCTGAGAGCTGTAGGGTGGGAAGGAGCAACGGGGCGGAGAAGGGTCCCAGAATGCGCAGGGGAGCATCGGCTTTGATGCGCACACCTGTTCAGATATTGAAATATTCCTGTCGCCCATGTATTCTTGCTTAGTTGAACATGCATATGTGCAGGCGAGCCACCATAAATGAGAGAACATTACTTGCCCTGCCTGCCTGCATTCTTCGGGTTGCAAGCGCCCTTGTTCATGCTTGCATGTGCTTGCTCGTGCTTGTGGAGTGGAGTGCATGCGGCTTGCTTTGGCATGGACATTTGGCAATGCTCGGAGAACCGTCTGATTCTATCAAGAGGTGCAGGGGGTGGTCCTCGGAATTGAGCTCCTCAGAATTGCACCATCATGGAAAGGGGGGATGGCAGGCAGTGACCGGGTTGTGAGCGGGGCAGTGAGCAGGGGAATGGGATTGATGCAAGGGTGTGAAGATTGTTAAGATAAGCCTTGCTTGCTTGCTTGCTTCCTTGCACGTGCTCTTCCTTGGTTTGGGGAGCTTTGTCAGGCAACGAACTGGGCTCGGCTGAACTTGCGAAGTTTGTGGAGATAACCGCCATTCGTCAGCCGAGCGGCCACGTTCCTAGCTCGCTACCGCATGTCGAGTTGTCTTGCGAGCCTGGCGGACATGTAAGCTTGACCGTAGGGCAGCAGAATGGCAACGTCGCTGTCTTGGCATGCTGGTGTTGAAGATCCAGTCAACGCTCTCCGGGGTGTCTTCCCCCTCAAGGTACATTAGATAAGGAGCCGGTGTGGCCATGTCGGACGCTGCTTTGGGCATCGTCGTGGATTCAGAGGATCCACGGTACTGTTGGGTGCCGACCGACATCCAGCGATGCAGTGACTTGGTGGATGGCAGCCAGTGGATCTCTGCACTCGAGCAGCAGCTCAAGGCAGAGCCAAAGCCTACCCGACAACTGAGAATGACAGTCAGTGAGGGAGACAATCCACAGTTCTGGGCATCAACTGCATGTACACTCCGTGCCCGTAACGAAGCCCTACGCAAGATGCAGCCGCCGGCAAAGAAGGTGACACTGCTGACCCAGCACGAGGTACTTTTCTGGTTCAATGTCGGTTCGGGTGTACAGAAGCGTGACCGAGTCTTCGTCACGGATTCCAAGTGCCCACATCAGGGTCTCTGCCTTTTGGCTGGAGAGCTCAAGGACGTCGAAGACCTCGCACAGCTGGGAAGTCATGGATGTAGTGCCCAGATGGTGCCAACGGTGCCCATGGTGCGGTGCCCTCGCCACAACAAAACCTTTGATCTCAGGACGGGCGAATCCCTGGGCAACGGCGAACGGCTCCGCGTCTACCCCTGCAAGTTCGACCAGGGCCGCTACTATGTGAAAGTGCCCGTGACTGAAACGAACGGCATGTTGCAGGCAAGTGGTTTGTGGATACGGGTGCAAGGATTAGGAAGGGATTCTGTAAAGTTCTTGGACACATAGGTTGTATGGACAGGAAGCTTGTAAACGCAGCCTCAATAGTAGCCAGGTCGCGATTGAGTCCTGCACGGTGCCAGACGAAGATGTCGATATGACCGAGGAGCCGGACACAAAGCGGCCGCGCTTCTGCTTACTTCCAACCCCCGTCGCGAATGCCATGCGCACGAACAGGATGCTCGGACAGAATGCGACTCTGGGCTGATGGTACATTATCATTTTCACTTTCTGTACAGATTCCGGCGCATGTGACTTTAAACGCAGCGCTTTCGTCGAATGAAGGCTGGGGTGGCGGCTTGTCACCTCATGCTGTCTGCATGTTGACGTGTGTGTGGTTTGTGCCACATTTAAACTTGAAGCCAGATGGTGGGTGAAGCCATGACGGTTAGACTCGAAGACTGCTTTCGCTTGCGCGGGGATGATTTGCTCGAGCGAAGCCGAAAAGTGCCAACACATGGGCAGCACAGGTTCAGAGTTGACGAAGGCTGCAGGCTGCAGCTGCAGACCTGAAGATTTGTGCAGGTGTGCCAACAACAGACTGGGAGCCCCCGAAGTACAAGGGCGAGCAGCGGACAATGTCACGCTTTCAGTGGCTTGGAAAGCGAGCAGTTGTGTACGAGCATGCTTTATGCTATTTCTCTCTTTGAGCCTGACCAGCATGCATCCTAGGGATACAAGCAGTGCGCCGGCTCGTCAAGGTGGGGCAATCAAGGCCGCACCTGCTGCGCAAGACACACGCAGATCCTTGTCGTAGCCAGCGCGACCTTGTGTGACGTGCTCTCGAAGCCCGCAAGCAGCGTATTGACATGCTGACTTAGCGCACCCCCCCCCCCCTGGTTGGGTTGTAGACGCTTGCGCGCGCCGCCTCGCTAGCCCTGGCTGGCCCAAAGGGGAGGTGGGTCGCAGGGGTCCCAGGGAGGGGTTTGGGGGGGGGGTTGGCTTCGTGTTTTGCCGTGGTCTCTGTGGGAAGACCACAGCCTGGAACCCCCCGCGGCATCGCATTTCGGCTCCTCCATGCAGGTCACCAAGCAGGGCCGAGGCGGCGGAGCGGCGTACAGAAAGTTTGTGGGGAAGGGTTGGGAAGGGGGGAAGAAGACCAGATCCTGCTCTGCTTGTTCTAGACGCCTCTCGGCTGGAAGCCGAGTCGAACGTTTCGACAAGAATCTCCAGCTTGTTATGGTGTTGCTGGCCGTGCATGCGTGGCTGGGAAGAAGGGTAATTCCATGTGATCCCGGTTGTCGCAAGGGCCCTTCGAGACAACACCTTAATGGGCTGTTGAAAGAGAGGGAAGTCGAACAAGTCTCGAACAAGTCGAACAAGTCGAACATCAAGCCTGAGTAAAGAATGATTTTGTACTGACGGCGAAGAAGGCTCCATGCTGTGCTGTGTGCTGCGCCTTGCCGTGTGCCAGTTTCGCTCCGTGGCTGGCAGCCCTGACTACAACGACAGGAAGGTTGGCATCCCCGGCTGAATTTGAGAGAGCATGAAAGGTCGCTGACCGTCCATGCAGTAGGACATGTTGCTGGATGAGAAGCACTCGTTTGTCGCATTATCCTGGATCCAAAAACTCCTGACACCCTGAGTCCCCGAAGCTCTGCTTGACGTCACTCAATTGGCTGCTCTGTTCGAGCAAACTGGTGACACCGGCCGTCCAGCAATGCGACGCGCACGCAGATCGCCGCAAGTGAGCACGACTTGCTGGGTGAAATTCCACAAGCGGATGCATGGGAGTGTCACAAGGCGTCTCATTTCTTCGACCGCTGTCGAGAAGCCACTTCGAGACCCCGCACCCCGAACCCGATCCTGAGCCCCCCTCCCTCCCTGGAAAAACAAAAACTCATGAAACATCAAACCCGCACCCACGTATAGAGACTCAACCCTAACCCAAACCCGAACCCACCTCCCTCCCCCTCCGTACGAACCCCCGCCCAAACCCTAGCCATCCCTAACCCAAACCCAACCCTTTGAACAAAGGAGCCACTCTCAAACCCGAGTCCGCACACCCCCCCACGTGTAGAAGAGACTCCAGCCGAACCCAAACCCGAACCCAAAACCAGGGACTAAATGGCGTAACGGGAAACCAGTGGGGTGTAACGGAAACCATGGGCAAACATCGTAGCAAATTTAACGGAACCAACCGGACATGTAACTGGAACAGAAGGGGGGCAAAAGGGTGCAATATTAGGCTTAGGCTTGAGGTTTCACTAGGGTTTAGGGTTTAGGGTCTTTGGTTTCAGGCTGTTGGGCTTGAGGGTCCAGGGTTCGGGCTAGGGTAGGTTTCTGTCACGAGAAGTTTTTTCGGTTTCCATTACAGGTTTCGCTGGTTTCCGTGATGCCCACGTCTGGTTTTCGTTACGACTTTTTTTGGCTTCTGTGACGGTTTCCGGCCTGGTTTTCGTGACACTCTAACTCGAAGCCCCTCCCACCCCCTTGTTCAGAGACTCCACCCAAACCCAGCCAAACCCGAACTCGAACCACTATTGAACACGAAACCTGGACGCGAACCCGGAACGCGAACCCGGACTCCGCCCTCTCCCCCCAGCAGCCCAAACGCGGACCTCCACAAAAAGTTGCTGCATCCCCCACCCCGAACCTCCAACACCAGAATTCTGAAAGACCCGCTATAGAACCACACAGACTTCCTTCAGACATTTATTACGGGGGTTTCGGGATTGGGGTTGGGGGTTTAGGGTTTTTAGGGTTTAGGGTTTTTGGGTTTAGAGCTTAGGGTTTAGGGTTGTTTTGGGGTTAGTGCTTGGTTTGGGTTTAGGGCTCAAGGGTAAGTTGAAAGTTGTACGGTTGAAGGATTTTCAGGGTTGCTTAGGGTTGAGGGAGGAAAGGGTTTTTATGCACCAGCATTCACGAACTTCCCCCTCCCCCCCCCCCCCCCCCCCCCCCCCCGGCCCCCCCCCCATCCCCCCCCCCCCCCCGACCCCGCCCCTCCGCACCCCCCCCCCCCCCAAACCCCCCTCGCCCCCCCCCCCCCCGCCCCCCCCCCCCCCCTTCCCCCCCTTTTGTGGTTCATGGTGTTTAGGCTCCGGCACGCTCTGCCCCTGGATGTAGCGTCGAGGGTTTCCGCCTTTCCTCTTGTGGTTCGTGGTGGGTTTAGGGTTTAGGGTTCAGGGTAATGGTTTCGGGTTCCGCCTCTACCCGCCACTGGCTCGGCGGGTTTAGGTTTTACGGCTTAGGGTTTAGGGTTGAGGGTTTAGGTTTAGGGTTTGCCTCTCCTCTAGTTCGTGGTGGGTTTGGGTTAACCGTCAGAGGTTGGCGTGGTGCATCTTGTTGACATTTTTCTTACGCTTGTTGTTACTCAACGAAGCATTCTGTTGATACCGTGACATTGTAAAACCTACATGATATCTGAGGCACACTATGGCCGAAAGTTCCTTGCAGAATCTTCTGCGAGAAGATGGCAAGTACATTCTTGCCTTTGACAAGCACGTCATTGCGGTGAAACGTGAAGACGGCACTTGTTACCTCAACTTAGGAAACAAGACGCACGCTTGCACGAATTCATGATGGGCTCAACTGCTGAAGGGATTCCTTTTCAGCAACAAGCGGACGCAAAGAAGTTCATTTTCAACGCGCCCTCGGTGGAGCGGGTCTGTAAAATTGCGCGGTCGCATACAGTGGACATTTCGCAGAGTACTTCCTCGTGGAGACTGTTCGTGGCAGGCAAAGTATTTAAGCTCAGTGCAGCCGAATTCATTCAAGATATCTTGTCTGCGCCTGACGCAGCCACAGAGATTCTAGCGCGTCCACAGCCGCAGCGACCAGTGACACATATGGACGTTCAGATTGAGCATGACTTCGCAGAATAAGACGAAGTGGCATCAGATTCCGAAGATTCAGTGGATGGCTTCGGGGATGCAAGACCTAGACGGTTGAGGATCGATGGTTTTCGGGCTTGGGTTTAGCTGCTCATATGAGGCCACTCGTCCGTGCGTTGGAGCATCCGTGGCCAGCATTATTTGGATTCTGTCGTCAAAGCGGGCTGTACAAGTGTGCGTAGATATGAGGGTTTCTGGTTTACTGCTTCGGGCTTTAGGGATGGAATCCTAATGGATGGACTGTAACTTCTACGCCTTAAACCCTAAGCCCTACACCTTGAACCTTAAGCCTGAAACCCAAAACCTTAAACACACCGCTGCGCGCGAAACACATATGCCGGCGCCTCGTCTGCAAGTCACTTTTGGCTCAAAAGTCGGTGTGCCACAGTAAGGCACAAGAAAAAGTTTCAACCACGCCCTATTCCTTTATTGCGATGCGATTTAGCGTATATGGGCTGTGGGCGTTTTAAAGTGCAGGGCTTTCAGGGTCTAGGGCTTTTAGGGCTTTTAGGGTTTAGGGTCCGAGGGTTGAAGACGTTCAGGTTTATGAATTTGCAAGTGTCGTTGGCGTGTTTAGGGTCTTGTTCAAGGGTTTCGGGTCGTAAGTTGTAGTTTTCAGGTTGTTTAGGGTTGAGGGACGCAAGGGTTTTCATGGTTCTTATGCACCAGCATTTACGAGCCTCCCCCTCCCCCCACAGTGTCCCACCGCCGGTTTGGGGTTCCCCCCAGCCCCCCGCCCGCCCCCCCCTTTGTGGTTCATGGGGTTTAGGATCAGGGTCGGTTCAGGGCTTTCACTTTGCCTCCGGGTGTAGTGTCGAGGGTTGAGGGTTGAGGGTTGAGGGTTGAGGGTTGAGGGTTGAGGGTTGAGGGTTGAGGGTTGAGGGTTGAGGGTTGAGGGTTGAGGGTTGAGGGTTGAGGGTTGAGGGTTGTGGGTTGAGGGTTGAGGGTTGAGGGTTGAGGGTTGAGGGTTGAGGGTTGAGGGTTGAGGGTTGAGGGTTGAGGGTTGAGGGTTGAGGGTTGAGGGTTGAGGGTTGAGGGTTGAGGGTTGAGGGTTTAGGTTCAGGGTTTCGCCTCTCCTCTTGTGGTTCGTGGTGGGTTCAGGGTTCAGGGTTCAGGGTTCAGGGCGAAGGTTTCGGGTTCCGCTTCTTCCTGCCTCTGGCTCGGCGGGTTTAGGTTTTCCGGCTTAAGGTTTAGGGTTGAGGGTTTGGGTTTAGGGTTTGCCTCTTCTCTGGTTCGTGGTGGGTTTGGGTGGACAGTCAGAGGTTGGGGTGGGTACCGTGTGAGGGGGCGATGCCATGGCGGAGCACGGGCGCGTGTAGGGGGTTTGGGGCTTTCAGGGTTTTGGGTTTGGCTGTTAGGGTTTATGGGCATTCAG